TGCGCCATCTCGACCAGTTGTCGGCAAAGTGAGCAACATGCTCTGCCCATCGGATTTTACTTTCTTGTGTGGCAGCTAATGACAACCTGTACGCCACGCATTTGGCAGAGGGTTTAACTGTTTATGTAGTCGTGAAAAGACATGCTAAATATTTTTCGCTCCATCGCTGCCTCCGTTACAGCCAGTGCTCGCTCTTCAGCTTTAGTCAGATTGTGAGTACAAGATGGAGTACTGTATTGCTTCTGTTTTCATTACATTTGATTAGTAAAATTATAAAAAAAACACATTTTCAGGAAGTTTATGGTTATGTTGTGACTTGCTGTACTTCATGTGTACTTTTCTGCCTTTATTTCTATAATGGTATTTTTTCTCTGAAAATTTCTGGATCAAAAAAGATTTGCAGCGACTAAATTAGCTGCAGCCTAAATGATTTTTTCTACTACTTCCATCAAAACAATTTTTTGCTGATAACATCCGGCTAATTTGAAGCTTTTCCGATATTACACTCGTTTGGCAAGTATTATTATTAGCATTTTTCTTGTTGCTCCTCACACTGTAATCATCGATTCTACGACATACAATTTCTGCCCAGAAACGATGATTTTTGCTAAAAAACACTTTTCTAATGGCAAATTTCTCGGCTTTTCTTATTAGTTTTTTTGAATTTCGGCTTGCTCTTGGAATATCCTTTGTATTCAGGCTTGTTCTGAGATTTCTCGTTGAACTGCGGCTTTTTCTGGGATTTTTCTTCATACAAATGCTACGGTCAGCAAGAGATCGTAATAGTCCAGAATTGCCGCGTCTGCGAAATGGTATCTTAGCATCGGCACTAGCTGAGCTGGAAGCTCAGCGAAATGGTCCAATTGGTCAGAGACCTTCGATTCTAACCGAGGCAGCTAATCAGGCACTAAATCCTGAGTATAATCATCGTGGGCGCAAACGGCTCAGAGATTCTTTGCCACCGCAATACCATGGTATCATAGCAAGTGCCTTGCAAAATGAAAGTGAAATGAACGGATATACCGTCATCATACCACGAACAAAATCGTTACCAGTTACCACCGGTTGATGTTTCTCAAGGATTTCGATCAGATGGCGGCAGTGACGGCAGGACACCGAAAGGTTCATCCGCGAATAGTTCGATAGCCGCGAAGGATTCACTGGACCGAGCACTGAGCGCTGATGGTTACGACACAGCAGCACCACGGCATACTAAGCGCCGAAGATCGCGTTCCGGAATGTTGGGAAAATGGCTACAGGAATTAGCGGAGTCGGCGCCGGACCTACGCTCTAAGAAGAACACCAAGCGACAGTCGTCTCTGGAAGATAAATTAGATGAGCGGAATTCGAGAAGGTTTGCTGAAGCCCGGGGTTCCCTGATGAGTCCGCGAACGGGGATGCTTGGGGTATTACTCAGTGAGAAGGCAAATATTCCAGAGAAATCGGTGCCTTCAAAGCCATCAACTGCTAGCAATCGTCCCGTTAGCTCACAATCTAGAGTAAGCGACGTGTATCCATTTATTGCGGAGGAGACTACATCATCAATCAAAAGTCGATCACCCATCGACAGGATCACGGATGAGCGGGCAAAGCGGTTCTCAACGACTAGCTTCCCTCGAGAGCACGGTGAATCTGGTGGAATGCTACAGCAAGCACTGGAACATCTCAGCGATACAGTCATCAATCCTGCACTAATTTTCCGGGATTCAGCATCGCTCGGGGAATCGGTGACGAAACGAGGTGGATTGAGAAGTCGAGATTCTGGTGATAGAATTTCGATTCGCAGTGTAACATCGAAGGGATCGGGAACGCGCTCAGCGGAACTGTCGGAGGAGGAAAATGAATTTGACGCAAACCCTTCGTCAAAGGTAATTGCAAATTTTTCGATCGCTTGATTTTAAGGTTGAATGTTAGTGATTTTCATCATGTTAAAGCAACGAGTTTGATTGTAAGAGGTGAAACAAATAAGAAAGACAGAGCAAATAAGATTAAGTACAAAAAAATCACGATTTTTCGGTTAATTTTTCTGACACAGTTTGCTATGCATAAACTACCTTCCCGAAAATATATGGATAATTCGTTGGTACTGCTTCTATGCTTACAGTAATTATGCAGAGCATTGACTCTCAAGTAATGCTTATTAATGCATACTTCCAAGAATACGAAAATCGTCCGGGCGATCGGTATGGGGAATTTCACATTAATGATGTTGCTGGAATGCTTTCACAAACCGAGCGCATCGTTTCTAAGCTACACGAACTTGCAAGGCGCAAAAATAGATTTATAGGATAATTTTCGATCATAAAAAATCACATGAATTTAAATTTAGACTTAATTTTTTCGATTTTCATACCAAGATAGCCAAATTTTAATTCCTGAATTAAGCTTCTGCATTGCGCAATGAAAGGTGAATGGGCGACGGTGGAACAAATTTTGCGAGATGAAAAGGATCTCGATCTTACACTTTCCGATTCTGTAAGTTTTGTGCAACAGTGAACACAAAATGACTTTTTGAAAAAATCTCAGAATTTTTCGATGAGTTTTTTAATAGGACGTTCGAGCTTGATAAATTTTGTTTTTTGCTTTGATAACATTCTTTTTCTAACAAATTTTTTCCTTTTTTTCTTTTTTTTTCGCTCTATATGGTTGGTTTTTTAAGAGATTTCGATTTTTATATACAAGTTAATTGCACTGAGAATGTTCCAGCGTGGTTTCACTGTTTTGTTGTACGCTGTAAAGGATTCCAAAATTGGCATTTTTGCTAGCTTGCTCAGTCGCAAAGCGGAGATCAATACAAAGACAAAAGTCTGTCTTTTTTTTCTTAAGATTACATTATCGAAATTCACTAGTTTTGAACAAGCGAGATTTTAAATAGATATGATTACCTTTACATGTCGACTAATTCGAATATTTAATGCTTTGGCGTAGTATCTAACTTTGAATATCTGTAAAAATATTTAATTCTGCTGTTATTCATTCATATATTTTCAAACGACCTGATTGCCAGAGCTTTAAAATAATAGTCTCATATTTTATTAAAAGGAAAACTGACTGAAGAATGTTGCTTTAGAGAAAATTTTGTGCAGTTTTTTTGCAGTAGGTTCACTTATGGATGTTTGTTTATTTTACGTTGATATTCTTTGTAATTAAAAAGTATTAAAAAAAACAAAAATTTCACAAAATTCCCATTTAAAAATTACCCAGTTTAGATGAAAACGGTGTAGAAGAAAACGGCTAGACCCGTAGAAGAAAGCGTCGAAAGTCTTAGTGCTGAAAAAATGATCCGGGTTTACGCTTTTTTATATTAGAAATTTGGAAGAAACAAGCTTGAGTTTTATTCTCATTTTTGTGCAGCTCGTAAAATTTTCGCCCTACCTTGTTTATTTAAATCAGAACATTAGCTACGTTATCATTATAACAAAACAATTATGAAAAAAAAAAGAATCGGCAAAAAATTGGTAAAATCAAAAAATCGTAATCTTTTTTTGGAAAACACTTCTTTCAGGATGGACGGACTGTTGCGCACATTGCTGCAGCATTCGCAAATGAGGAAATGCTACGGCGGTTACTGGACCGCAAGATTGACGTGAAACAATGCGGCGGAGTAAATTTTTCTTTTTGCTCTCTCAGAACATCAAATTGAGAATTACTGGATTTGGACTACTGTAAATAGGAACTGAGAGATAGAATTCGGGGATTATTGCGGCCTGATAGGGAATTGAACCACTATCCCTCACATTCAGACGCGACGTGCTACGCACTACACTACCAGTTCTTCAGAATTAGCCTGGTAGCACATTTACTGTTTATCTGTCTTTCAAAGCAGAATATACCTTTCTTTTCTTCTCTGTCTTCCGTAGGCAATTTTATCGTTTTCTTTGCGGTGGCTTCTTGCCCGGCTTTTCGCAGATTTTCTGGGAGTGCAATAAGCGCTCAAACAGCTTACGTACACTCAGTACACTTGCTCCCATCACATATTCAGAGTCAGCACACGCACTCACCTCTAGTGCACGTCCGTTCTGTTCACGTGCTTTCAATACAACCTGAATCATTACTGTAGGGAATCCTGCAATTAACATTCTTATTTCCATTTCTGTGATGAAAATGCGCGAGAACTGAACTTATTCTTTAAAAGAGTGTAGCGTCGGTTCAGATTTCTGATTGTTTGGGTGACGTGTTTCC